GATTTTTTTCATGTTCTAGGCATGTGTTGCGAATTTATGTTTAGTTCTCAATTTGGATTGATGTTTATGACCAATTGGATGTTCAATGTTACTTGATTTGGATGGCATCATTTAAGTCCAACTTCTGATTGATTTTATTTTACTAGTTGACAAACCAGTTTGTGAAACGAAACAAGTTTCATAAAAAAAACCACGATACATTGAGGATCATAACATTACGCAACAACACTAGTTGTGTACAAGTGAACTCACAATATAATAATTATTTTGTTTTGTTTATGAGTCTATGCCTATCTAATATTAATTTCTAGAAATTTTAATGTATACACATTTGCAGGTTTGTAAACAAGTAAACACATTTTCAGGTTTGTATACGAATTTTATTGTATACACATTTGCAGGTTTATGAGTCTATGCCTATCTAATATGCTCATACTTGGTCTGTATTTGATCAAAGCTTGTGTTTTTGTTGTTTTGCAGGTTTGTAAACAAGTAAAGAAACAAGACACGAGAGTTACGATTTCCCAAGTCTTAGACCAGCCAAGGTACGTCTCGGTGAGCTTGACCGCTCACTAGAGGCTTCACTATGAACAAAGAACATATTACAACTTCAGAATCACTCACCCACACAAAGAGATCACCTTAAGAGAAGAAAATAAGATAATGAAGAACTCTCCCCAAAACCCAGAACTTTCTCTCTTACTCTCTCTACACTCAAAAGTGACTTGCACTTTGTCTTAATCTCTGAATCGAACACAGCTTTTAAATAAACCTCTTTGTCCCTCTCTGTAAAATCCCAAGATTGCCTTGTACACTCTTGAGCAGCAAGACAAGCTTTGTCGCTACTTGATCACGGCAAAAATGCAGAGAGAGAACCTGTGTTATATTGAGATAATTGATGTATCAAGAAACCTAAATCCCCACGTTGCCTCTCTTTTTCTCCCAAAGCTACGTGGTTATCGTCTCGAGACATATATTGGAGTGAAACGCGATGTTAGTAATCGCGATTAATGGTTTAATCGGGTTTAGTAATTGTGATTATCTGTCTCAATTGGATAGGCACTGTTTTAGATGGTTTTAAAAGTATAGATTGATTTATGCAGAAGAAATAAAGTTTGTGTTGTTTTATAAAGAGGTAAAAAGTACAGGTTGAAATGTTGAGAAGGGAATAAGTACAGGTTGTAATAACGTGGCAATATAGATAATTAATACAAACAACGTCATAATTGGCCCAATTAACACATAATTTAACTCTAAAAAAGCCCACAAAATTCGAAATTTACACCGTCTCTTAAAACTCTCTGTACACACCCACACAATAGTCCACGTACACGTAGGTCAAATTAAATACCGAAAAAAAAAAACAAAAAACAAAAACAAAAACATTTGACCATATAAATATAGAATGTCACAACAGATTCGCTTCCTCTCTCACACACACACACAATAGAATCAGTTTTACAAAAAAATCGCCAGCTTTTATTTCCCCTTTCCTCGGCGATTTCAATTTCTCTTATATAACTCTCTTCTCTCTTCTTCAGATCTGATTCATTCCACAAGCTATGGAGGTAGAGCAATCACAACGATCCAAAAAAGACGACGATCTAAACAACGGATCTGTCACCACCACCACAACCGATGACGAAGAAGTCTCCGTCGAGAGAGTCTTCGAACAAAGCAACGAAGTACCGCCGCCGTGGCAAAACCAGCTCACTTTCAGAGCTTTAATCGTCAGTTTCATCCTCGCGATTCTCTTCACTTTCGTCGTAATGAAACTCAACTTAACCACCGGAATCATCCCGTCGCTTAACATCTCCGCCGGTTTGCTCGGTTTCTTCTTCGTCAAAACGTGGACGAAGATTCTCAACAAAGCCGGTGTGTTGAAACAGCCGTTTACTCGGCAAGAGAACACCGTGATTCAGACTTGTGTCGTCGCTTCCTCCGGTATCGCCTTTAGTGGTACGTATCTCTGAGAATTTTGAATTTTGAATTTTTGTTGATGATGATGTGATAACGATTCAATGGAGTTTGGTGTCACCGTCTTTAATTTTTCTGTTACCTTTTACGGATTTGATTGTGAGAGATCTCTTCTGTGGAAAAGGACAGATTCTTTTCTATTTTTGTGATAAAAATAAAATAAAATTGAGTTTATCGTGTTATATAAAAAAATTAATATATTATGTGTTTAAGATATAGTTAGAATCGTATATGTGATTTTGATATTTTGTTATAAAGTATATATAGATATGTCCTTTTTTTAACGGATTGTGATTAGAAAGATATTAAAATAATTATGGTAATGATTATCTCTTGTGTGTCAGATTTAGGTCAGCTGTTATTATCATTAGAATGATCGTACATGCATAGAATTAACATAATTATCTTAAAGTAATTAGTATTATACTATGGTTGATATGTGAATAGTATTAGCGTAATTATTATGATTTTTTACATTTTAATTAGGCAAAAATAAATGTAAAACAGGGGATATATTGGTAATGGTTAAAAAAGAATAAATCATAATTTTTTTTTTGATGTTATGCATAAAAAAGAAAAAATTCGTATTTGCGTGTAAACTCTTTGTAGTGTGGATTTGAGTAGATGTAGATGCATGTAAGAGTCAAAATCAAGTTGGTTCGTGTTAGTGACGTTATACATTAGAATCCAAAGAGTCCAAGTGTGTATATATGACTTTTTTTTTTGTTTTGGGGTGATATAAATGAGAAACGTATCTAATTTTACACGGCAAAAAGATTCTAATTAAGTCTTAAGTCAAATCTTGATTAGCATAAGATTACGGCACTCTAATTAATAGGAAGTTGTATTTGACTCTATAGTATAGATAGATACTTAGCTGTTATATTCATTCACTATCTGTTTGATTTCTTTTTTATTATATTTGCATGGGATCGGATTGGTTACAGTTTGATAATAGGAGAATTTAATATTTTGGAACTGCTATCGAGATTGAAACAGACATTAGTGTGTAGACATACTTTTGCATTGGAGAGACTGAGTTTTCAAGGAAACCACTATATTTGACTCTCACGTGGTTGATTTGTTCACTTGTGGAGATCCTGACGTAAAATTATTTAATAAGAGTTGACTTGCTTTTGCCTACCATGTGTGTCAAATGGGAACCTAGAACTTGCTGCACATGACCTTTTAGTTTCACTTATTAAAATAGAGTTTTGATTAGAAGACGACTACATTAATTAAAGTAGTGGGATTTGAGTTTGTGGTACACGTGATGAGACTTGGTTTTTAATTAATGGAACCATGTTAAACATATATTCAAGATTTAGCTAATAATATCATAATGTTTTACTTATTACATATGATGTGTAAAATGTGATGATGTTTGTTTGGTTGGCTTAATGATTGTGTTGTGTGTTTGTGTTTGAACCAGGTGGGTTTGGTAGTTATCTGTTTGGAATGAGTGATGTTATTGCAAAACAATCAGCGGAAGCCAATTCTGCTATGAACATAAAGAATCCTCATTTGGGTTGGATGATTGGGTTTCTCTTTGTTGTTAGCTTTCTTGGTCTTTTCTCTGTAGTTCCCCTTCGAAAAATCATGATTGTGGACTTCAAATTGACATATCCTAGTGGTACTGCCACTGCCACTCTCATTAACAGTTTCCACACACCTCAAGGAGCTAAACTTGCAAAGTAAGAATCTTTCATCATTACCCATTAGAACAATCTCTGAATATGATAGTTTCTTTTCTGAATATTGATCCTTTTCTATATATAACATAGGAAGCAAGTGAGAGCATTGGGGAAGTTCTTCTCATTCAGTTTCTTGTGGGGTTTCTTTCAATGGTTCTTTACTTCTGGTGAAGACTGTGGTTTTGCTAATTTCCCTACATTTGGTCTCAAAGCCTATGAAAACAAGTTCTACTTTGATTTCTCGGCTACCTATGTTGGTGTTGGAATGATTTGCCCGTACCTAATCAATGTCTCTCTTCTCATTGGATCAATTCTCTCATGGGGTGTTATGTGGCCTCTCATTGGTGCTCAAAAAGGCAAATGGTATTCTGCTGATCTTCGAGATAGTAATCTCCATGGTCTTCAAGGCTACAGGGTATTGTTTCATGTCTCTCCGTCTCTTTCACTTCAGTTCATATAATAAGATCCTCGGTGATGAAGTTGTGTTTATTGCTCGCAGGTGTTTATAGGCATAGCTATGATCCTCGGTGATGGTCTTTACAACTTCATCAAAGTCTTAGGCCGCACTATCTTTGGTCTATACAAGCAATTCAAGAACAAAGATGCTCTTCCCATCAACGACGACCGTTCATCACCAGACATTGTAAAAATTTCTTACGACGACAAAAGAAGAACAGAGCTTTTCCTCAAAGACAAAATCCCATCATGGTTCGCTATTACCGGTTATGTAGTCTTGGCTATAGTCTCAATCATCACAGTTCCACACATCTTCCATCAGCTCAAATGGTACCATATTTTGACCATGTACATAATCGCCCCTGTCTTAGCCTTTTGCAACGCCTACGGTTGCGGACTCACTGACTGGTCCTTAGCTTCCACATACGGAAAACTTGCCATTTTCACTATCGGAGCCTGGGCAGGCGCTGCCAACGGAGGTGTCTTAGCCGGACTCGCTGCTTGTGGTGTCATGATGAACATTGTCTCAACAGCTTCTGACCTTATGCAAGATTTCAAAACCGGTTACATGACATTAGCCTCACCAAGATCAATGTTCTTGAGCCAAGCTATTGGAACCGCCATGGGTTGTGTCATCTCTCCTTGCGTCTTCTGGCTATTCTACAAGGCGTTCCCAGAGTTAGGACAACAGGAGTCCGCCTATCCCGCTCCCTACGCCGCAGTCTACAGAAACATGTCTATACTCGGAGTCGAAGGCTTCTCTGCTTTGCCCAAACACTGCCTCGTCCTCTGCTACATATTCTTCGCAGCAGCAGTAATCGTGAACGGCGTAAGGGATGCCGTGGGATCAAAATGGGCTCGATTTATCCCACTCCCGATGGCTATGGCTATACCATTCTACATCGGAGGTTACTTCACAATCGACATGTGTGTGGGAAGTCTCATATTGTTCATCTGGAGGAAACTGAATAAACCAAAGGCTGATGCTTACTCTTCCGCCGTCGCTTCGGGTTTGATCTGCGGTGAAGGCATTTGGACATTACCAAGCTCTGTACTTGCCTTGGCTGGTGTTAAACCTCCCATTTGCATGAAGTTCTTGTCCAGCTCTGCCAACAAAAAGGTTGATTCCTTCTTAAGGCATTAACTATCATATCTCTTGTTTTTCAATTTGGTTTTTTAGATTCTCTCTGTCTAGTTTTCAATTGGCTTTTTAGGTCCTCCTCTGTCTTAAGTTGGTGGTGGTTATTTTTAGATTCTTCTACTCAAAAAAATGTAAAAAAAGAAGAATGATTCAATTATTCGGGTTTTCTCCTTTCTCTATTCTTCTCTAAGAAATTAAACAAACATTTGGAAACAACTATGAGAAACTTTAGACATGATCTCAATACTACCATTACCATCATCTAACTTAAACACCTTAATCTCACATCCCTCATTACCTTCGAATTACGCAAGCATCCTTAAAACTCATTCGCCAAAACCGAGAAACAAGTATCAGTAGCCATCACAAAAACGTTCTCACACAAAGAGTTAACCTCAACCCATTTAGCTAACTCCTTATCCATCTTATAAACCTTTAAACCAACAGTTTTGACTCTCCCCAACAGAGGACGAACCAGCTTTTCTCTTCACAATGTAAACCTCACCACAACATTCAACAATACTCTTCTCTATACAACAACCATTCGTCACGGTCTCTTCGAATAAAGGACCGTATCCATAGATCATAAGATTAGAATCAATCCACTAAACAGTTCCTTGTAAATCCAATGCATAAGTCATCCCTTCATGTACAAATTTGAGAATTCATGATCAGACATGTTCTAGAACCAAACAACAAGAGAGAAGTTCTAGAATTCACCTCTCTCTCTCTTCTTTTTTTTTTCCGATGATTTTGGGACATGGGAACGTTTTATACGATTAATAGATTTTAAAGTTTTATCATATATGAGGTATGAATATTTTAATGTGACTATAAACTTGCACATCGTTGTAATTAAATTGACTTAATTTGCTATGTGTAATATTCTAAATTTCTAATATATATAGCGAAACCTTTATAAATTGGCAATGTCACAAACGTAAAAATTTATTGATTTATAGAGATATTAATTATTAATTTATTGAGTGCGTTTTTTTTTTCTTGGGGTCAACAAATCTACTAGACTGAAAGATATTTTTGTAATTTGTGGACTTTTATTTAACTGAAAATCTTCCTCTTTAATAATGTTCTTAGATATGAGAAACAAATGAACACTTGATTTAGAGAAATATATGGGTATATATGCCGGTTTTGGAAAAAGATAAACAAGAAAACATTTAGATAAGTTCTTGAAAAGTGTTTTTACGATGCTCGTGATAAAAGGGACGAGTTTTGAGCTTGGTGGAGAGGTTAACATTGACAAAGCTCTATACTTCCGTCAATTTCATTCCATTCTATGAGCATTATTGCATTACCAAAAGCTACTCTTGGCATATTGGAAAAAGCTTTAGGGTTATTCATGTAGAACTATGGAGAAGAATTAGAAGCAATATTTACTTGCTTGGAAAAGAGTTTAACCAACCAAAGCAATAAGGTGGGTTAGGGAATTGGTTAGCAAGGATGATGAATATGACCCTTTTGGGAAAAGTGGGATGTTGATTATTGAATGATACAATTAGTCTTTAAACAAAGGGTTTGTGCAAAAAAAAAATATAAAGTGAAAGAGATTCATTATCCCTCATGGACTCTCTTGGGGATAGAGTTCGGATGGGAGGTATATTGTTAGATCTATCTACATGCTGCTTTTAATAAGTGACAATACACCAACATCGAATCAGAGTAAGCTATTTGATAGTGTGGAGGGAAAGAGTGTAGAATCACTTATGTAGAGTTAGAGGTGGATATAGAGATGGTAGTTGGGTTTCTTCGAGAGAAGAATACATGATTCCCATCCACTCTTTGCTAATATGTTTATTGTATGACTTTATCTCAATGGACTAGATAATCTGAATATTTCATGTGTATATATGGGGATGCAAACTGTATAACAAATGGGTTAGGGAACTATGTGTTTTCCTTAGCTCTTTGATTTCATTCTTTTTATGAATGTCTGAATATTGTTCGTCCGATGATGTTGGAGGATGTAATTGAGGTTTTGTTCCCACATAATGTTTGATTGTAGTTTCTTTTCATTTAACGAAGTGTCCTACCTATTACCGGAAAAAGTAATCATTATTAATTTACATTTTTTTTTTTTCGATTCGTGAGATTTAGTTGAAGTTTTGGGATATTTAAGAGATTTCTTAGATTTTTTTAATTAAAAAATAAAAATGTGAATTAAATAAAGCCATATGTTCGTCAATAGTCTTGAACTCTTGAATAACTTTGTATCATATGTATACTTTATTTTTGAGCGAAAAGTATATATAACTTGGTGTGATATAGTGATATATATCACTAATATTTTCCAATTTTGCATTTACTTTCAATAAAATAAAACATATAATTGTGAAACATCTCACATTTGAGATACAACCCAAATATATTAAGCATTAAACTAGAGTGAATTCATTTCACATTAACTTAATTAAAAAAAAAACTTTGAAACTTAGAGTACTGCAAACACAAAACTAAATCTGACATATGTTTAGACTTAGAACATGTTGACACCAATAGCAATTCCTCATTCAATCTCGTCTTCACTTTCATCCACCAGCTCTGTGTAGTAAGGATATGTAACCCTGCACCTGTAAGGCATGAAAAATGTACATAAATGATGATTACTAACAATCTATTTAGTAATGTAGTTATGTAGAAATAGTGACAAAGTAAGTTATGCATTTACATTTCTTCGTCTTCTTCGAGCTCAGCAATCTTGGGATTGAGGAGAATCTTAGAACATCCTTCTCCTGTGATAATGCATCTATCACCTATGTTTTCAAAATACCAAGTTATTACAATATAACTCTTTGGTTATATAGATACCATATTAATCTTTAGAAAGTAATGTACCTTCAAATCCTGAAATACTCCAAAACTTCATGACACAAAAGACCTCATCAGACCGCCTTTTAATATCAAATCCAGAGTTCAGCCACATCTCGCTGAATGAAGAGCAAGAGTCCCCCATTGTTGTTGCCTTAAGGAGATTACCCCTTACAATGATTATCCAAAAAAAAAGATGAAAATGTTCATGTATTTGTATAACTAGTTAACATTTTGTAAATAAATTTAATTTCGATATCTAAATCTTACTCATTGTCGACCAAAACAATATCGCGATACTTAGGCATGTAAGCAACTTCATCCTCTTTAGGCACATATGGGAGTCCTTTTACTTTAGAAACCTTAAGGATCATCCCAAACAAATCTGAAAGCATACATATATCAAACACGTAAACCAAAGAAAACAAAGATCAATGTTGATTAAACAATATAGATAACTTACCTATTGGAACATCAGATGAATCATTTTCATGATTTAAAATCTCAGGGAATTTCATGAACTCTAGTAAACACGGGTCTGTAACATCATCAAACTGATTCATCTTTGTTTTGTATGAAAATTTGATGATCATGGGATTAGTAGTATTGCGAAAAGGTTCCGGGTTTTCGATAACCATGAAATTGGTTAGTAGATACCAATTCCCCTCGAATATCTCGTTGACGAAACTCCTAAGATAATATGGGTGTGGAATGGTAGCTTCCATTCTTGAACCCTATAACATAAAATGTACTAATCAAAATTTACATAATTAAGGTTCACTATGCTCTCCTTACTAATCCCAATTAGACTAATAATTTAGAATAAAGATATGAAATTACCTCAGCATCAGCAAGAATCATACGACATTGCTTTTCCAAACTCTTTGGATTACTTATCCAAAGAGAGAGTACCTTGACTGAAATAGTCCCCTTTGTTATCCCTATTTGCAATGAAGCAATGCTCAAAGAAGGATCCATGTTTTTTTTTTCTGTAATTGTTACTGAAGTAGAAGATGGTTTTTGATTAGTTTATAATATGAGGTTTTATAGAGTAGGTTTATAATAAGATAAGATTTAGATTCCTAACCATTTTAGTCTCTAAATGAAAATGAAAGTAAATGCAAAATTGGAAAATATTAGTGCTAAATTCCTAAAAAAAATATTTAATTCATATCTTATTGGATTTAATACCATTTGCGGTGTGAATGCATACTTTTTTTTGGTGGACTTGAGTTTCTTTTCCTTATTGGTAGAGTTGACTAGATAATAAATGGTTATGTTTATCCATGTTTCAAACTAATTAATTTTTAATGGGGTTTTTGGTCAACATTGGGCCACAACTAGCCGGCCCTTTAGCCTAATCCCTACAAATAATTTTTTATTATTTAATAAAGATTTACTTTTATATTTTTGATATATGTTAAGTTATTATGGTTCCAAATTTTATATCTTAGCTATTTGAATTGACTAATTACAAACTTCAATGATCTATTTCATTTCATATTCAGTTTTAGATTTCTATCTCAATAAGCTCATTTGAGTATGAATCCATATTGCCTAGAAATGTTAACAAAAATGACCAAAATCGACCAGTTTAATTCCTGTTTTTTTTTCTATATATATATATATATATATATATTTTTAATTTGACATCGTTTAAAATAAGTAAAGACATATGATTTGGGTAAAATAGCAAACTGATATTTTAAACTCCCTTATCTAATAAACCCCATAATGTTTCATTGTTTTGAGTTGTGTGAATGTCAAACATGGAAGGTTTAGTACTATTGTATCATGTTTCATATAAAAAATGGGTTTAAGCTTCGCGATTTAGGTTAATTATCAAATTAATTAATGTTAAGACTTACTTGTTTTTAGCTTTTATTCGAGATCTTTCTCTCTCTAATGTTCTAACTTAATTAATATTAGGAATTCATATGGCTTAAGTCTAGATGTTTTATAGCTAGAGCATATATCATATAGTGGCACAACATAACTGTGTAATCATCAGAACTCTATCTCTTAAGAATGTCTACAACTCAAATCAGCTTTGTTATACTAAGATGAAGAAACCAGTTCATATATGAAACATTTTATTCTCCATGTAAATCTTTGGTTTCTTGATTTCTTCCACATATTTCTTGAACTCTATCTCTTAAGAATGTCTACAACTCAAATCAGTTCATAAAGTCAACTCTCTAAGAAACGTTTTATTTCCATGTAAATCTTTGGTTTCTTGATTCCTCCCACATATTTCTTGAACTCTCTCGTTGAAGCAAACATGTTATCATATGCACACATTTAAACAAAAGTCTTAAAGAAGTCTCGTAATTCAATTGATCAATCAGTTTTGATATGTGTTGTTGTGTTGATATACAACAATGGACATCATGACATGAAATTTTGAAATTATTCGAATAAAATGATTGTCCTAATACTAGTCAAGTTTTGTTTGTTTCGGTCGTTATTCAATATATATGAATAGAGTTCAATTCTAGCTATTATCCAGGTCGATTTTATTCTTTGTTAGATTGTCATAGTTCATGTTTACTTACTATACCATTACCATCCCAAATTAGAAAACACAACCAAATGGAACCAATGAACTTCATCTTTTTTTGGTCGTAAAGAAATCAGTTTTTATTTTTACAAATAGATACACCAAAATTATTAACTAATAATTCGTAGCAATTAACTGCAAAAAGTCATAAAAGGCCAACTAAACAAACCTTCCCCTTCCCCTAAAGCCTCCTTATATAAATAGTTTAAAGATTCAAACCCTTTCAATGTCCAAAACATAAACTCAAAGACAAAGAAGATATATAAAGCAAAATCAATTCTCTCAAAAGAATTAAGAAAAAAATGGATCACAACACAAAAATAATCTTCCTCTTTGCACTGCTTTTCATCGGTTTACATTTCCCTAATGTTCTACTCGTTTATGCTCGTGAACTCGGTATGATTCCTATACATCTCTACCTATTTATTAGATATATCCCACATCGATGGTCGGATAGATTCTTGGGTAGTATATATGTGATGTGGCAACCCTTCTCCCTTGAGCTAGCCTTTGGGATTAGTTAGGCCACATTACTAATACTATTTTTACACTCTAGTATATAATATGATATGTTTTGGATCTAAATATTAATTATGAAAAAAAAACAGGTCATGACCACAAAGAAACATTTACATACAAACAAAAGACAGACAAAGGACCAGAAGGGTGGAGCAAGATAAATCCTGATTGGAAAGTTTGTAACACCGGGAAACTTCAGTCTCCGATCGATCTTACAAACGAAAGAGTCAGTCTTGTTCATGATCAACCATGGAATATGGATTACAAACCAGCTCCGGCTGTTATTGTAAACAGAGGACATGAAATTATGATATCGTGGAAAGAAGATGCTGGCAAAGTAACAATACATCAAACTGATTATAAATTGGTGCAATCCCATTGGCATTCTCCCTCTGAGCATACCATTAACGGAACTAGGTTTGTTATATATACTTCCACGAATGGCAAATATAAATTTCATTTATGTCAAAGTTGTCAAAACTAAACGAATGTGTTACAGATACGATTTGGAGCTTCACATGGTTCACACAAGTGCTCAGGGCAAACATGCAGTGATTGGTCTTCTTTACAAATTAGGTGAACCTAATGAATTCCTCGCAAAGGTACAGTTTAATTATATACATATTTGACTGATTTTGTTACATATTCCAACCCTAATATATGTATGCATGCATGCAGCTACTAGATGCAATAAAAGGAGTGGAGAAAAAAGAGAAAAATTTAGGGATGGTGGATCCTCGAGAGATCAAGTTTCATTCCAAAATATATAGGTACATGGGCTCTCTCACTGCTCCTCCTTGCACTGAAGGCGTTCTTTGGACCGTACTCACAAAGGTATACTATAAAATTTTTGTTTCATTTTATAAATTGATAAAAATATATATCCATTAGATATATATATTTCATTTGTATAGGTGGAAACAGTATCAATGGAGCAACTTACAACACTGAAGGAAGCCGTTGATGATGTAATGCTTTATGTAATTTCATTAATTAGCATAATATAGTACTGATTTAGTATTATTAAGTACTAATTAAGTTTATTGACTGATGATAGGGATTTGAGACAAATTCAAGACCGGTTCAAGACCCACATGGAAGATCTATTTGGTTCTACGATCACAATTTTTGATAGATTTGATTCATTCTTTAAATTCTTTTGTAATATCCTTTTGCAATAAACAAAAAAGAGAAAGGTCAAGTCTTTTATAATATGTGGCACTTAAGTGGTTTGTTTGGCGGAACAAATAATTTTAGGTTTCATTTAATAATTATTTTTTCTTAACACTGATTTAGTGCTATAATATAATAACTAAAAAATATCTTTATCATTCATAGCAATTACGAAAAATGAGCTATCATCGTGTACTATCAATATAGATATATCTTGTAGTGAAAGATGTTATTCCACGTGAGATGATTCCTCGGCAAGTGGTTTATGACATGAAAGCTGGAGTCATTCTATAATGGTGAAGTGTTGTATGAGATAAATTAATTTCTTGTTGTGAATGTCTTGGATATCTTTACTGTACCCCTCAATTTTCTGAGTCGTCTATTAATATATCAATGCTTCATGAATCATGATGATACTAAAATAATGGAGATATTTTACTTGTCTAACCTAAGCTGCATGGAATCAGAATCGGAATCAAGTATGCAGAAGCGGAAACATTTGGAAGGGATGAACGAGTTTTAAAAAATATCTAGGAATCCCGTAATCTAAGAAAGATTTTAATACGGCAATAACCGAAAAGAAAAACGGATAATTTTGAAAGTTTTTTTCAGCCAATGTAACCCCCTAAATAAATGTATCTCATTATAACAGTTCTCAATTTATAAGATCATCAAGATATCATCAACACTATAAATAGGAAACTAGACTAACCATATGAATCTCAAAAACAAACACAATACATCTAACAACAAAGGAATATGAAAATTTCATCGAAAACACTCGTCGTTCTCTCTATAATGTTTTGCTATGTCATTAGTCTTTGTCATGGATCATTCAGACCTTTTACTAAAACTGTTGTCACACTCACCAACAATATAAGTCCACCAACAGTTCTGACACTAAATTGTACATCTAAAAGCGATGTTCTAACAGGCAACGTGCCGCCAGGACAAAAGTATCTATGGAAGTTCATAGCAAACTGGTGGCTTACAACAAAATTTACATGTAGGTTTTCTTGGGCTAACCAAGTTAAATGGTTTGATGTATATACTGCTGACAGAGATCAAGGCAATTGTTTTGAATGTAATTGGTCTATCATGGCTGACCGTCTATGTAGTTCAGGATACTTGGATCAAGCAAATAATAGGTGTTATCAGTATTGAAATGAAACAATTACTATTTGTAACAATTACTATTTGTAACAATCTCTTGTAATCATATTCATTGATAATAAAATTTTAAACAAAACTAATATGATATGGTCGTTCAACATCATAATTTTTTTTAATACTCTTTTATTTAGAAAAAATTAGGTGAATTATAACCATGAATGATGAACCTTATAATTGTAATCGGTAAACAAGTTTTGAATCCTTCCAAATGTAGCAAAATGAGGAAAAAAAGTTATATCTATTTTGCTAGGATTATCTATTAAAAATTTGGAATACATATTGATCATAAAAACAAAAGAATTACAAAAAAAATTAAATAATAATAATTATGCAAATATTGTGCAAAGCTTATGCAAAAAAATGAAAAAAGTATTGCTTAATTATGTAAAGTGTATAAAATCAACTATACTGAAAACTTCTCCACACTTTTCGTTTTTCTTACTTCTTTCTGCATTTATAATAACAATAATTGATTAGAATTTGTTTTGACAAACATATCAAATGAGATATTATGGACCAAATTAACACATTAAAGACTGACTATCTAACTTACCACAAAGAGGAAGATTGAATATGCATAGCTTATGATTGTGATGAGGCAGCAAATAAGCCCCACGATCAACGTCCTCGTTGCGGTTGATTGAACACATGTTAATACCATGAACGCGATTGCGCTCGCAACCAAAAGCTCAATTGCAACTCCATATATAAAGATAACTAGAGCTCTAAGTTTATGTGAGCTATTTATTATGGATGGATGGAAGACCATAGAGGAACCATACGAAGATACTCATGAGAGCAACAAGATATGGCATTGGTGAATCCTCCTCTATGGCCTTTTTGATATTAAAACATAATTAATATTATCTCTATATTTTGATAATTAATATTATCTCTATATTTTGAATGAACCGAAGAAAGCTAAAGTTATTTTGCGCGTACATGAACAATTTTTTTAAAATTGTTATTTAACAGTATTTTGGTTTATACCTTTTTCATTTTATGTAGCTTGCTCTTTTAAAAGATTTGGAAAACTTACTTACATTGAACCAAATTCGAAAAACTGAACCGATCGGTTCATTCGAACTATGCTTTCACTCCGGCAAATACCATTGATATATACTCTTTTATAATTAACTTGGCTCTTTTGCATTTTAAATTTTCCTTATATATATTATAAGAAAATAAAATTAGTTTTAACGTAAATGAAGACAAAATATTTATATATTTACTAAGATTGTTTAGTTAATTAAACTTTGGAATAAATATTGATCATAAAAACAAGAGAAGTACAACAAAACCTAAACAATAAGGATTATGCAAATATTATATTAAGTAAAGCTTATGCAAATGTTTTGCAAAATTTATGCAAAACATAATTTCTCAACCAAAACAAAATGTGTTCCACTATTTTTATAAACATGAGTAAGTTATTGTCAGATAAAAGAGACATCATGTACCATTTGTGATTCCACCCCGACATAATTATATTAATTGTCTTTAGCTTCGAACTATTGGTAACATGTTCAATAAATAAAAAAATATATCCATGAGTATAGTTTTAGGTGGATTAAATTAAGAGACACCTTATAACATTTTAAGCCGACAAATATATCAATAGGTCCTTTTAGATTAGAACTCATGGGCATTCCCATTATGATAGACAAAGTTAGGGTTTAGAAAGATAAAATCACAACTTTATGCAATAGCATGAAGAGAGTTTAAAGACGACGAACATATATATTGATTTATATCACTTAATAAAAACAAAATACTAAAAGAATCTGATACTGCAACACGTTGGAAAAAGATACATGTTGTTTAATTTAATGTTACAAGTCAAATCTATTGGATAAATGTTGTTTAATGTTTTTTTCGTAGTTTAATTACTTGTTTATAACGACCGTGAGAATAACACCATGCATTAATTTGTAAATTTCATTTAGTTTTAAAAATATGTAATTATGTAAGTCTTGTAACAAAATTGAACAATGTCTTAAAAATGTACATATTACATTAGTACTTTAAGTGAATGAAATTAAAGTTCAATATTAATAATGTGGTTGGTAAAGGAAGATTCAACGTTTCAGAACAAATGTTGTGTTTAATTGAAACTACCCCATTGTTTAAACGTCTTTGGCATGTTAGAAACGTCGTCTTTGTACGTAGTAATGAAAAAAATTACATTAATTTTCATTACTATTACTTTCTGATATTTTAGTTTTTTCAAAAACTTGTTGTTTTATTTTTATGTGGTTTTCGTTGTAATTTCTCTACTAAAGATATTAATTATGAAGATTAAATTATATACATACATACATATATATATATATATATATATATATATATAGATTTTAAATATAAGGTTAAGAAAATATCTCTATTAATTAATATTTTTTAATTAATTAATAGAATTTAATAGTTTGATGTTATTAAGTTATAGAGGTTTTCTTGTAGTTAAATTCAATGCATCTTATCAGATGATGGTCAATGTATCTTAGATGATAATCAATATATCTACTGTAACAGTTCATAATTAATTCATAGTTCATAAAAAAATCAACCCTATAAATATGAAACTAGCATATAATCATGTAAATATCTAAACAAACAAAACAAGTCCACTAACAAAAGAAAATGAATAGTTCATCAAATAAACTCATCGTTCTCGCTATATATCTTTGCTATGTCATAAATCATTGTCATGGATTCAATCCTTTTGCTAAAACCGTTGTCACAATCACCAACAATATTAGCCCACAAGCAGTTTTGAGAGTAAGTTGTAAATCTAAAGACGATGATCTAGGTGAGCATGTGTTGAGTTCAGGACAAAGATTTCAATGGAAGTTTAGACCAAGCGTGTTTAGAGTTACATTGTTCTTCTGCAGGTTTGCTTGGAATAACCAAGTTAAAAGGTTTGATGTATATACACCTAGCAGAGATCAAGGCCATTGTATTACATGTAATTGGTCTATCATGGCTGATCGTCTATGTTTATCAGGAAACTTAGATAAATATTATGATAGGTGTTATCAATGGAAATAAAACTATTTGTAATAGTTTCTAGTAATCATATTCATTGATATATTTAATAAAAATAAATATGATTTGGTCTTTCGTTATCATTATTTAACACTTTTTTTTTTAAGTATCTATGTATATTACATAACTATGAAATTTCAATAGATTAGGTGAATAATAACCATGAATCTTAAAAAAAAAAACATAGAAAAATGCATTAAGTTTGATTGGATGAAAAGACAAACACTATCTCTCAACGATACAGAAATGTTATGCATGCGTTTTGAAAATTTAGCTATGTCCTAGGTGTTAATCTCCTGTTATGTGAGGTAGAGTTCAATTATATAATTTAGTGTTTTAAAGATATGTTTGATTATTACGTTTTTCAGTGAATGTTTTTTTTCATATAAAAATTTAACATAAAAATCGTGGGTTGGTGTATATTTTTGGGAAACTATTTGTTTTTTTTTTCTCTTTGTAAACATTTAGAAAGGTAACACCCGTTTCAGGTTGAAACATAAGGTTTGAATTTGATGACTCCATTTGGGTTTTCTATTTTGTACCATATATCTTGAGCATAGTTAACTTTGATCATAGACCTTGTTATTAGATTGTGGGCTTACAACTTAAAACTAATTGGCAAAGATTGGAGAGGTCTATATATTATATATACTACTTAAGATTATACTCAACTTCCAATGTTACATATTGTTATCTTTAATACGCCTCCTTAAGATGATGATCTTCTAACCATAAATCTCGGTATGTTCAAGCATTAATCGGTTGGCCAACTATTAGACCGGACCGATCGTGAATTGGGGTTAGAAGTAGAAATGCTTGTGTTTGCGTACTTGGGGTGAGAAGAACTGTCAGATGAAGCCATTTTTAAAAAGTACTAGTGGCCGATGAACGTGGATTGTGTTCTTCGTTGTCTCGCTTGATTGTTTTGTGTTGATTTTTTGTGCTTTGTTCTTAATTGCTTGAGTGTATAGTCTAATAGGTGAGAGGATCGACGTTAACAATGGTGGATGATGGAGGCCGCTTGGAATCAAGATTTGTATGGTGCCATAGTGGTGACGACGAGAGGTTGCAGGATATATACACATATGACATATATACACACATTCAGGTATATGGGAAGAGTAGGTTTCTTGATTTCTCCTTCATATTTCTTGACTTGTCCCTGAAGCAAACCAAAAAATAATGTGAAATTGACCAGCACAATACTGAACACAAAGCGAAAAGCATAGATTTTTCGCTAGAAACTCATTGACCTAAAACCATTACTAACAAAGACACTACAACACTAGCTAGCTAGAGAACAACTAGAGAGTGGAGATATAAGTTGGAGATAAAGTTGTGACCTTTAAACTTAGCTTAACCAATTCGAAGATGAAGTTGTGACCTTTAAAGCAAACAAAAAATTGAATGATTATCATTTGCAATTTCACACTAAACCCTAACTGAAAGCAAACAAAAAATTAAATGAACCGAAAAATATATGAGGGAGAACTCAAGAAATGGGAGATTTATATGGAAATAACTAAAGAAACCGTGTGAAATGTGGAGATCTAGAAAAAGCCCTGAACATTTGGTAATGGAAGTGGCTTATATTTTTCAAGGACAAAACTCATTCTCAAATTGTAAAGTATGGTATGGTATGCTAAGCCAGGAGTAATATGCTCGTCAATCTTGTAATGAGATCTTAAAGTTTGGCAATGCTTCAAGATGATACCCAAAGAATAAAGTTTCTGTGTCTATAAAGACGATGAACATTAAGTTTTTTATTAAAGATGATTGGTACACTTAATCATAAAGAAAGTAGCTTTGACCCTCACCTAAACAATGAATCAGAAAAAGCTAGGAGAAAACATTTGGAAACAACTCTTCGACGACTTTGATGAGATAATACGTCCATTACCATTACCATTGTCTAACTTGAACACCTTTGTGCATAATTTCTCAAAGAAGTAAATAGAGTTTTCGAGGCATCCGTAAAAGTCTTGAGCCGAAACCGAGAAACAAGTATCACTAGCCATTAAAAACGCTTTGTCTCCCAAGGTCTTAACCTCTACCCATTTCACTAACACCTCATCCATCTTGTAAACTTTGAAACCGACCGTTCTGGAATACTTACGTGTTCCAATATTAGCTTTTCTCATTTGGGGATTCACTTTCGGGAGTCGCTCGACAACATAAAGATCTCTACCACATTCCACAAATCTCATGTCTCCCCAACAGCCATTAGTGACTGTTTCATCTACTGAAGTAGTTCCATACCTAGAGAATTCAAGATCAGAACTAATACACCAAACAATACCTTGTGAATCCAAAACGCAAGTCACCCCTTTGTGAACTATAATGTCGGCGAAGTGAGGATCACTCTTTTGTTCAAGTTTCCAAAAGATATTTCCATCCCAGTAGTTGATATCTCCATCCCAACCGACTCCAAGAACTCCATGATGATGATCTCCTCCAACGTTGAGCTGGACAAGAACACTTCTTTCGAATCCGGGAGTAGTTACTCTTGCCTTGGCTTCATCAAGAACCACACATGCTTCTTGAATCTCAGAGACAGTGAACTCCAAAAGATCTATGCTCTCAAAATAACAGTGCAAAGGACAAAGCAAGAGAGGGTGAAGGAGATAGAATCTCCCGGAGTTTACGATGTCCATGTCGGATTTGATAATCCAGCCCTTGCTCGGGGAAGAGGAAAGAGAGACTCGGAAAAAGGCATTGTGCGAGAGGAACGTCTCGGGGCTGCTAGGGGAGATGGAATCGAAGTGGAATAGACGGCGGCGGCTCTGGAAAGGAGTGCCGGGAACAGAGGAACGCCGCCAAGATGTGCAGATGCTACGGAAACGTTGGAGTTCGAGGACGGAGAACAATCGAACAGAGATCAAGTTGAGGAGCTCCTCAGGTAAGTTAGACCAGTCTGCTACCATTTTTCTCAAGTCTATTTGTTTCGGTTACTTTGTTTTTTTTGTGTTGTGTTGTTGTGAGTCACAAATATATATATATGT